TACCAAAAATTAGGAGAAGGCCTAATGCCAACTTTTTGTTTGTTTAGGTTTGTTGTTGGGATGAAACAGGGACTCGAAAGTCATAGAATAGTTAACAAAAGAGGTTAACTTTGCCTTAGCAAGCAAGGCTAGGAAACCAGCATATAAAGATAAAAGAAGCACTTAGCTTCTCAAAGAAGTGGGGCTCCACCCCCTTCCCTCGAATGGAAATTAGTCAGCAGGGCAGGATAGGATAACTTGTGGTCCTCAGAGATCCACTCAGTCTGAGGGGCCTTGATTCTACAAGGGGGGACTTTTTATGCCTTCAGGTGACCAGAAAATTGCCCCATCGAGGGAGGCTGGGGCACAATCAAGTCCCAGAGACAAATACTGCTGCCTTTTAAGGAAAACTAGAACCTATTTCAGGGAAACAGGGGAACCATGATCCTGAATATCACATATATTATGTGTCAGGCATTGTGTTAGGCACTATAATCATGTAATATATAACAAGAGAATTAGTCAAAGAAAAGAAAAAGGAAAAAAAAGGAAAGCAAGCATTTGCACAGTGACCAAAAATCACTGTTATCAAAAGGAGAATGTTAATCAGAAGTAGTAGTAAAGTTATCATGTCAACTTGTTCTGAACACAGAGGCCACAAAGACAACAACAGGAGGATCTGGTTACAATAGAGCCCAGTAAACAGCACAGATGGAATTTATTTATCGTTTTTTCCTTGTATAATAGAATTCTTAATCCAAATAACAACAATGAAAAAATTAAAAAGGATACTCTGCTTTTCTCTTTAGCTCCTGATAGGATTATGCATTCAAAAGGTCTAGGAAGAGAAGACATTTATTTCCTCTATCAAGTAAAAAATTTAAATGATTATCTGTAGCTTGTTTTCCTGATGCTAATCAATGAGTTTGTTCAGTCAAGAGCCTCCTTACAACACATTCAGTTCAGTCATTTTTGAGCCAAGCCTGATTTTTGACGACCCCTTTTGGGGTTTTCTTGGCAAAGATCCTGGAGTGGTTTGCCATTTCCTTCTCCAGCTCATTTTACAGATGAGGAAACTGAGGCAAACAGGGTTAGGTGACTTGCCCAAGGTCACACAGCTAGTAAGTATCTGAGGCCATATTTGAACTCAGGAAGATGAGCCTTCCGGGTTCCAGACCTGGAACTCTATCCACTTCACCACCTAGATTCCTGTCCTTACAACACACTGAAGGTGAAAAACAAACCTTTGCGACAAAGGACAGACAAGTTGCAACTTATGATATTTTATATAGGAAGAGAGTCAGGGTAGATACCATGCAGGCAACAGACAGCAAGCATGCTTTTACAATGATAATTAAAACAATGAACAGCTTACATTTACATAGCTCTTTAGAGCTACAGTTTATAAATGTCCATTTCATAGAAGAGGAAATGGATGCCTGGGAAGGCAACGCAACCTATCTAAAGTTACAGAGCTAGGACTTGAACCCAGATCTTTTAATTCCAAGTGCAAGGTACTTTCTAATATGGACTGTTGGGGAGGGGTGGGGGAGTTCTAACGTCAATTTCCTCACTGCATCTTTCTCTACAATGTTTAAAGTTCAGCTCCATTTATAATGACTCAAAACTTTGTTCTTAATGACCACCATCCAATAACCTGAAACACGGCCATGGAAATAACCACGTAACAGAACAACACCATATGTGTCATTGCCTCAAGATAGTTTTTCACTCTTCTTTACATTCTTCTGCCCTTCCCTCATTGCTTTTGATGACTTCTCCCTTAAATAAATGTGAGAGGAAAGATTTATCTGAGAGAGTAGCATAGATAAGATGCAGTTTTGGCCTTCCAAGAGCTCATAATCTTAACAGGGAGAAAATAACCCCACAGATATGTGAAGACCTGCAACACAATCCCTGCATAAGAGAGAAAGTAATATGGCATCACAGCTTCTTCACAAGTATAATGAGCCGCAAGTCAAAAGGCCTGGATTCTTCCCCAGCTCTCTCATCTACTCTAACTCCTGTCCTCATTTGAAATATGAGGATATTAGACCTGCCCTGCCTACCTAAGAGGACAGTGAGGATCAAACAAGATAATACATTGGAATGAACTTTGACTGGAAAGCACCATGCCCACTATTATTAATTACATGGGGGGATTAAAAAGAGTAGCTTTTAATAAAAAATGACTCCCTGGGGATGGGATTTCAGGAAAGCTTTGAAGAAAAGTGAGGAAGGAATTTGTTAGTTCAGAGGCTATTTCATTCGTGAGACGGTCTAGATCAGGGCTCCAGATTGCGGCTCCGGTGTGCACTAGGTTCTTTCATGCCCAACCTTGTGTCTCTTTCAAGATCTCTAATTTATCGACTGGAATGTGTCAGGGCACTACACTGACTCTGGAGGCCACACAGCAACCCCACGGCTTTTATGGTTGATGGTGATTTGTAGATATTGCTCCAGGCACAGAACTGTGAGAATCTCTGGCTTAAAGTGGGTTCAAGTCACCTTTCAGGCACTTACTAGATAAAGACCCTAGGAGCAAGTCAAATCCCTTATTGGACTTTCAGTTTCCTCATTTGTAAAATAAAAAGGTTAAAAGAAATGACTTCTTAGGTCCCTGCTAGCTCTAACATAGGTCAAAATGAGGAATGGGAATAGTGGTTTGGGGGAGAGAAGCAGATAAAAAGTCTCTGCCATTATTGTCTTATGAATTGTTATTCTGTCATTTAAGAGGCCAAGGAACTTTAAGGCAAATGATTATAGGAGCACAGATTTAGAGCTGAAAGATATCTCAGAAGTCAGAGGAGCACAGATTTAGAGTGAGGAGGGATGTCAAAGGTCATTTAATTCAATCCTTTCATTATAAAGATGAGGAAACTGAGTCCCAAGCAGGTTAAGTGAATTGTCCAGAATTCTACAGATCATAAGAGTCAGAGGCTGGATTGGAGCCCAGGTTCTTTGACAACAAAACTAAAGTTCTTTTGACTACACCAGTGTTATTGACCTAATTAGTTTTAATTGCCACCAAGGGTGGTGATAAGAAATGCTGACGTTCTTTATTGGCATGCTTAGCCAAGGAGAGAAATAAAGGAAATAAGTGGGAAGTCAGAAAGGAAGAACAGGAGACAGTAAGAAGAAAGAGATGCATGTGGCAAAGCAATAGATTTCCCACTCCCAAGGGATCATCAACAGGCGGCATACAGCCACTTTAGGGATTTCTCTGGTATTCATTCAACAAATATTTATTGCATCTTACTATGCACAAAGGATTAAAAAAAAGTACTGATGTCTAATTGTGAAATATTAATGTAATTAAAGTGTCTTGCCTTTTCAATGGGTGGAGGAGGGAGTGGAGGAAGGGAGATAATTTGGAACTAAAAAAAAAAAAAGGCATTTAATTCCTTTAAGGTAGTAGCTAAATTCTCCAGCTATGACCATGTTATCAGTATAAAATAATTATCTAAGACCATATTATCTATATAAAAAGCTGCTAGGACCATATTATCTAGTGTAACAAGTTAGAGAATCATAGAATGTCATGTACGTAGCCAGTACATATAGGTAGGGAGCATTTTTTTTTTGCAATTATTAATGCACAGCATTTTCTATGTCTCCTTCAGAATAACTCAAAGAAATGGATTTTTATAGGTCTTTGCCTTTTTAAAAGTTTCTTTCTCTTTCTTTTTATTTTTTGCTTTTTGGTAAGGCAATCGGGATTAAGTGACTTGCCCAGGGTCACACAGCTAGTAAGTCTCAAGTGTCCAAGGTCGCATTTGAACTCAGGTCCTCCTGACTCCAAGGCTGGAGATCAATCCACTGAGCCACCTAGCTGCCCCTCTTTATTTTTAAAAGATGAAAATTTCCTCTCCTCATGCAGTCAACTTGATATAAATCAGTTTGGCAGGAACATGCTTACAAACCTCATTCATGAAGATTATTTTTTAAATTATATTTTTTTTCAATTCGCAAAAATATTTATCTTTTCTTCCTTCCATTACCTTACTTTAATCCTCTCTAGCCTCCACTGCAAATCAGAAAGAAAAACAAAACCCCCATCATAAAAATGTAGAGTCAAGCAAAACAAATTTCTGAATTGGCCATGTCCAAAAAATGTATGTCTCAATCTATACTCTTGAGTCCATCATCTTTCTGTCAGGAGGTAGGTAGCATAATTAAGGTAAATTTGAAACCAAAGAGGTTTTAGAGGGCCACAAGACGCAAAGAAATTTCCAAAGGATAAGCTGACCTTAGGTTTGTTCAGTGGTTCATAAAACAGATAAAGTTATAGAGGTATTATTTTTTTTTTGTGAGACTAGTAATTCTTTTCTAAACTCCAGTGGTTACTTCCTCATGTGGGTTGTTTACATTCGACCCATAAGTGAGGTTGTTCTTACCTGCTAAAAAAACTAATTTTTTAACAGGTAAGAAATAACAAAAAAAAAAAAAAAATTTTCAATGGGAAGTTTTAAGTCACTCTTAAGTGACTTGGATTAGCACTAATGTTATTTTCTTAGTGATGATCAACATTAGGTTTCTAGGAGGATGTGGATCATATTATCTCTAGCCTGACTGAGAATATTCTCTTTTTTTAGCCAACTTCCAGCTGTCTAAAGAAATATTGTTGTGTGGCTGGTAAACAGATGACAAGATCAGTCTGGACCAGGACAGAGGTTGACACTCACAAGAATCATTTTAAGGAACTCACATGGACTCCAGTGGTTGTTGTCAATAGTTCTTTCGACATAGCTTTGTGCAAAGACTGTGGTTAGGACTATTTCTAATTTGGCAAGCAGTTATCTATCCTTGTTTCCCTTTTCTGGGCAGCTTGGTGTATCAGAAAATGGCTGAACTCCAGTGATTTAACAGAGTTAAAAGATTTTCTGTTGTTCTTTTAAAAAGTGTTACTACATTACTGCTCTGATGGATCTCTGAAAATTCAAATTCCTTTTCAATAAAATCACCTTCTCTCACATTCAGATCATTTTTAAGCATGGCGCCTATTAGATAAGAAAGATTACCTGAAGCCTTTGATATATCACTCGGGCCTGGAAACTGCAACGATGACCCCCAACGCCACCTGTCTGAAACACCAGTTAAAGAGACAGATACAAGTAAGATAAATGCTATGAAAGGCATGGGGGAAAAGAAAAGGGAGAGGGAATTTTAAACAAAGATGTTACCTTAACAATGTCTTTTAAGGAATGTATGGATGGGGGCCGGTAGATATTAGAAATTGTGTTTTCTACTTTTATACCAACTTCTCCTGGCTCTGGACAAGCAGTGAGTATATAACAGAAACTGGGAGGCTTCTGATCAGCTTTCATCTGTTTAAAATGAAGAGGAAAGAACTAAAAAAAAAAGGATCCAACATGATTTTCAAATTAAATTACCATGGAATCAACACTTTCTTGATAACTGTCCTACAAAAATAGTTCTTCAGTTCCTCTTGGATATTCACCATGCTGGTTTGACTGGTATGACAACGCCAGGTTTAGCTCTTGGCTCGAAGACGACTGAGGCGACATTTATGAACACTATGTACAGCTTTGAGGATTGAGAACTATGGTCAGTCAGGCTGTGCTATACGGAAAGGTAATGAGTAGAGATTTAAAAAAAAAACAAAACAGCCACCTATTTACAGCTCCAGGAAATGATTTGGTAGGAAATGGAGCATAAACTATTGGTTAAACTGAAGGTTTTGCATGTTAGTGGATTTCATTTATCAGTGTTTCTGTCCCTCCCTCCTTCCCTCCCTTTCCTCCCTTCTCTCTTATGGATAATTGAGAGTTTGTTCTATAAGTAAATGTAAAGCATAGAATAATAATAGTTTACATTTATATAGGGCTTCAAGGTATATGAAGCGTTTCCCTCATAACAATCATGTCATATAGGTAGTACAAGTATTATTAGCCCTACTTTACTGATTAGTAAACTGAGGAACTGAGAGGCCAAGTACCTTGTCTCATGGCCACACAGGTAATGAAGATGTATGTTGGGAATGCCTTGTTTTAATAGAGAGAGAAAACATTCATTAAGAATTTACTATGTGACAGGCACTATGATAAGCAATGGAGAAAGATAAGCAAGACAGTCCCTACCTTTTTTGAGAGTTTGCAGAGGAGATAGATGGTAAGTATTTAGGAGGTCAGGGCAAAAACTAAGGTTTTAAATTGTGACAAAAGGGTCTTTGGTGGATTTCGGTGTTTTTTGCTTTTTGGTTGTGATGATTTGTTTTAAAATATACTTCAAATGAGTTTACAACGGATTTATAGTTTGGTGGGGAAAGGAGATACGATGAAAAAAACCCTAAATGTTTGGATGTTTCTGATTTACAGATCAGAAACCCATTTCTACTTAACATGGCCTAACACAGAAATGGGGAGATCTATGAAGCAGTATTAAAAATGTTGGCCCTTGATCTTTTATCATGGAAGGAGAACCCACTGTTTATTCAGGAGAACCCAAGGTTTATTTGGACTTACCTCTCCACAGTCTTGACTTTGGCCAGGAATTTTCAAAGGCATCAATGGAGGCCACAAGCTATCAATCAGACTAAAAAGTCCCATTGCCCTTAAAATAATAAAAACAGAAAATGGCAGATTGAAAAAAAAAAAGAATAGTGCATGAAGGCAAAAATTCTCTTCCTCCTCAAAAAATATTTACTAGGATACTGAGTATGGTGCTAGATAGAACAGTAGACACCATCCCAAAGAAAGTCACATTTTCTCTTGGGCCACCTCTTCCATAGTTTCTTCACCTCCCCCGTGGACAACCACGTGGAAGGTATATTATAGAGGGAATTCTTTTTTTCAGTTATGAGTTGGACTAGAAAGTCACTTAGACCCCTTCAAATTTAGAAATTCTAGAATTGCTAATACCACCAGTAAAGATGTATGCGTGTGTGAATGTGTACGTGTGTATTGACTTGAACAGAGTAGTATCTACACACTTCCCTGTTTTCATGAACCTTTTTGACCTTTTTTTACTGTGTGTGTGTGTGTGTGTGTGTGTGTGTGTGCGTGTGTATACACATATATACACTCTGGATCTATTGCTATCATTATCTTTAACTAGATAGCTGTAATGAATATGCATATCCTTAAAAGGCTATGTTCTAGATTCTTTGCAACACATAAATCTTCTCATTTTTATCTGAATTCTTCAAATTCTTCAAATTTCTTGTAGTACAACAATATTCCATTACATTCCCATAACACCATTTTCAGCTATTTCCTCAATCAATTTTTAAAAAATAGAACAAATAGGGACAGCTGGGTAGCACAGTGGATACAGCTCTGGCCTTGGAGTCAGGAGGACCTGAGTTCAAATCCAGCCTCAGACACTTGATACCTACTAGCTGTGTGACCCTGAGCAAGTTACTTAACCCTGACTGCCTCACCAAAAATTATATATATATATACACACACACATATATATGTATACATACGTACATATATATATGTATGTATATATATATATGTATAAACAACAGTACTATTAGGAATGATTCTGAAATGAGAGGTTTTGTCTGTCCCCCTCTTTCCCACCTCTAATATCCCTGGGGCAAAGTTCTAGTACTGGGACTATTGTGTCAAAGGCTACACATATTTTTGTTACTTTTTTCCATAATTAGGTATTTCATCCTGAAAAGGTTAAAGCAATTCACTTCTATTTGCTGAATAAACATTCTTAATCCCTGTTCTGAGCTGGAAAAGTGCTAAAATTTTCTCATTATATATAACACTGGTTCTTGGGTTCAAGAGAAGACAAATGCTTTCTATTGTTTTTAAGGGAAAATTATTCTACCCTTATTCTTTTTAATGTTCTTGAAATAAAAAGGTGTTGTATTTTACCAAAGACCTTTTCTTTATTTACTAACAAAATAATATGGTTTATTATCATCATTGTTTTTATTATTGTTGCTGCTGTTATATTTATGGTTTTGCTCTTTCTTTCTGTTTAGATGAGTTAATGGTTTATCATTTTATAGGGCTTAAAAATCCATACCCCTCATGTTTTGCTTATTAAGTATTTATTAATTGTTTTTACTTTCAGCACTATTAATTTGTCCTTTGATTTTATGAATTTTTTCTTTGAACTTATTTTTGATGTATTAATTTGTTAGTCTGGAGTTTTTTTTTAAGCTGCACATTTAGCTTAATCTTTTTTTCTTCTCTTTTCTTAATAAAAGCAATCAGGGAAATAATTTTCTCTCTAAGAACTACTTTAGCTGAATCCCATACATTTTTGCAATGTTGTACTATTGTCATCATCTTTAATATAATTTTATTGTATCTTTTTTTAAACTCAATTATTCTGAAGAAATTTATTTTAGTCTGCCTTTTGGTTTTCATTGTTTTAAAAATCACATTTCTTCTATTGATTGAAATATTTAGTTTTCTATGTTTGTTTATAAGTTCTCTTATGTCTTAAAATGCAGATAATTTTTGTTGTACTATTCACATTTGAATAAAAAGTAAATTTAATTCTCTTCCTATAGTTATCAGATCTGTATTTCTAGGATTGTTTCTTCAAATTTTTCAGTAACTCCTTTTTTATTTACATTTTTGTTTGACTTATTGTATTCTATATATAGGCAATTAGGTTGCTCAGTAGATAGAGCCCTGGGCCTAAAGCCAGCAAGACCTGAGTTCAAATGCAGCCTCTGAAACTTACAAGCTATGTGATCCTGGGTAAGTAACTTAACCTTTGTGTACTTTAATTCACTGGAGAAGGAAATGGCAAACCACTTCAGTGTCTTTGCCAAGAAAACTTCATAAGGGGGTCACAAAGAGTCTTGACATCTGCTTAGTGTTTTTCTATTTAGATCCTTTGGTAGTTTAGTTAACTTCTCCTTTAAAAATGTTATTCTGTCATTAGTTGTATATTTAGAATGATATATATATGTATATATATTTTGCTGTTAATGGTTCTTTCATTATGATATTTTCCATGTTTATTTCTCAATGATTTAAAATTTCACTTAAGCTTTATTCAAAATTATGACTGTAACTCTAAATTTTCAAGAGGTGGCTGATGCATGTTAAAAATTTTCCCCCAGTCTCTCATTTTAAAACTATAAGTGTCTTTTTGTCTTGGGTATATTTTCTGTAGCCAATATAATATTGAATATTGCATTCTTTAAAATCCTTTCCGCAATATGCGGTGAACTTAAATCATAACATTCAGTAACAATTATTAAATTTGTGGGGTTTTTTCTGTATCATGTGTGACTATAATCTTTGTCATAATGGTACAATGCTTTTCTTGAGTTTCTATAGATAATATTGAAAAAGCTCTGGAATTTGATAACAATGTGTCTGGGTAAGTTGTATATGACATTTCTTTCTGAGGGCATCTAGTAGCTTACATTGATCTTTACTTTGTTCCTAAATCTCACTATTTCTGGGAAAGTTTCTTGAGGGATTTTCTGTGAAAACAAAACAAAACAAAACAAAAAACCAGTGCTTAGACTTTTGTTTCTTTGAAATTTTTTGATAATCTGATAACTCTCAGATTACGTCTTATCATCTTGTTCTGTAATCTTTGCTTGTCAGTTTAAATTTTTTCAATAGTTGAGTTAAACTTGTTCTGTTTCATATTCTAGTGATTTGCTTCCAGCTTGAGAGTTTGTTTCCCACTGATTCCATTCATTTAATCAAATTTTCCACCAAATTTTCTATGTTTTAAAAATTTTGGGGGGGGCAATTGGGGTTAAGTGACTTGCCCAGGGTCACACAGCTAGTAAATGTCAAGTGTTTGGTCTGAGGCCAGGTTTGAACTCAGGTCCTCCTGACTTCAGGGTGGGTGTTCTGTCCACTGCGCCACCTAGCTGCCCCTATGTTATTAATTTTTGTTAGAAACTAATTTTTTTATCTGTGAAAGAATTGGACTAACACTAGATCTACTTTCATTATCTTTAAGGAGTTATCAGTTTGACATGTCTTATACATTGAACAGTAAGAGCATGGCATAGTGGATAGAGGGTCAACCCCATAGTGAGAAAGGAAAAGACAAAGAGTGGTTTGCCATTTCCTTCTCTAGACCTGAGTTCAAATCTGGCCTCAGATACTTACTAGCTAAGTGACCCTGGGCAAATCTCTTAACCCTATCTGTCTCAGTTTCCTCATCTCTAAAATGACCTGCAGAAAGAAATGGCAAACCATCTCAGTATCTTTGCAAAGAAAACTGCAACAATTGAACAACCACAAAAAATAGAAATAAAAACTTCGACCTTAACTAAAGTGGCTATGATATTTTTGCTAGCCCATAAATTACCACTGAAATATTTACAAATCCCTATAAAAATAAATGAGAAAAAATTAATAAACATCATTGAGTAAGCTAGAGGACATGAATTTTTCTTGAGGTGTCACTGCTTTACTTTTCTGAGTAAGTTCTGCTGAAGTTTCTTCAATACACTCTCAGATCTCAAAGGTTTTCAGTAGCAGGATTTGTCGCTGGTGGGTAATAAAAAACTAGATATTACTATAGTCAGAAGGTACAACTTTTTGAGTTGTATTTATACTATAAATCTTAAAATCATACTGAACAGACAAATACTATGTGTTACAATGGAATCATTTACTGTTTTAACATTTTGTTGTTTCAGATATGGCCAATAAGGAAGAAAGAATCAAAGGTAAATCCCGATATTTTGAACATGTGATGACTAAACAAATGGTGCCATAATTAAAAATATGGAAGTCATAAAGTGGAATATGTTTTTGGAGAAAAATAAATTTAGTTCTGGACATGAATGAATGAGTGACTGGTGAGACATACTTCTATAGATAGGAGATAGTTGGAAAATATCTGTTTAGAGTTTAGGAGTGAGGATAAGTTTAGAGGCATAGATCTGGGAGTCATTCATGATAATTCAAGCAATGATCAAACATCATATGATCAAGGTGGAGAGAACTAACATGAAAAGGCCAGAAAAGAGCCAGCGAAGAAAATAAGGGAATGGTGAAAGAGGTAGGAGGAAAATACATTGTCATAGAAACCAACGGAGGACCGAACATCACATCCCACTGCATTATTTATAGGAACGTTTATACTTGAACAATATGAAGTTCACTCATGTCAGTGAATCATTTATAGTGTTGTTAAGACCTAAGCATAGATACTTAGTTACAGCAAGGTCTAAGACTCCTTTTAGGAAGAAACAATGGATTTGGCAAATGAAGATTTATTCCTTTTTTTTAACATCACTTTTACTTCCCAATGCCTATCTCTCCACCAATAAAACTCTCTCTTGTAGCAAAGAAATACATCAAAGAAACACAAACCAACACATTGACAATATATGTCTGACAATATATGCATCTTTCCACACTCACAATTACCTCCCTGCTGAGACATCTTACCATCAATCATCTGAAGTCAAAATGGTAAATTTTATTGATGTCTTTCAAATTTGTTTTCCATTATGTTACCATTGTGTAAACTGTTCTCCTAGTTGTTCTATCTTCATACTGTAGTCTTTCACACAGTTCTTTGATTCTTCATTTTCATTATTTTTTATGGCCCAACAGTATTTTGTTATATTCACATACTACGACTTATTTGGCCATTTCCCAATCAATGGGCACTACCCCGTTCTTTCCAATTCTTTGCTACCATTAAAGTGTGCTAAATATATTAAGTACTGCTAATACATTAAGGATATATAAATATATTCTATATATGTTCATTGACTTTATAAAGCATATCTAATATATGCACATTGATTTTAGCTGAAGGACCCAACATCAGGAAGGGAAAAAGGAGTTACAAACTAAATATGAAGTGCTCAGAGGCAAATTTCTCTTGATAATCTAGATTTTATAATCAGATACAATCAAATGCCTCTACACACTTAATTCTCATTTATTTACAAAGTAGAAATTGCATTTTGGCAGGGCTAAGTATACTCTTTTTCTCAAGTCTAAATCCAAATGATATCCTAAAAATTTTGTTTCAGAAGAACTTGGACCACTTCAACCTCATTCCATATTTTATTTTATTTTTTGTTTGCTTGTTTGTTTTGGTGAGGCAATTGGGGTTAAATAACTTGCCCAGAGTCACACAGCTAGTGAGCATTATGTATCTGAGGCCGGATTTGAAGTCAGGTCCTCCTGACTCCAGGGCTGGTGCTCTATCTACTGCACCACCTAGCTGCCCCTCATTCCGTATTTTAAAAAGTCCATGATAGGGGGCAGCTTGGTGGTACAGTGGATAGAACACCAGCCCTGAAGTCAGAAGGACCTGACTTCAAATCCGGCCTCAGACCAAACACTTGACACTTACTGGCTGTGTGACCCTGGGCAAGTCACTTAACCCTGATTGCCAAAAAAAAAAAAAAGAAAAAGACCATGACATAGTAAATTGGAAATTCTATAGTATAAATGCTACTATTTTGTGACTTTGAAAGGAAAGTACTTTCCTATTAAAAAATTCTTTCTTATATATTAAAAAAAAACCTCCTTAAAAATAGAATTAGGAGTTATAGGCATTCACAATCATTCAGGACTCAGAATGCTCTCAAAATTCATAAAATATTCCATACTTAAAAACTTCTTGAAAATCTGCCCTCAATGTGACTGTGCAAAAATGCTTGGTTTTGTTTTATGGTCATTTCATTCATCATGCTACAGTCACTTGTTGGGAGGCTGGGCTATTCAGGGAGGACTAGCGCCTCTGCTGTGAGGGTCTTTTTCAGGGCTGCTCATCCACCTTTGGTGCTGACCTGATTCACCCAACCCTTACATGCAGCTCCAAGAAGCTGTAGCACGTGCAATGGCCACATCCTGATGATACCATTTTGGCAGAAGGGCTAAATCAGGTTGAGGGTAACCAAACAAAGCCCTCAAACCCATTGGTGAGTTAAGAGGATGTCTACTTCAAGCATGTGAAGACTTCTCCTAGAAGAATGGGTGGATAAGAACAATTTGTTCCAATGGCCATGAAGGCAGCTTGGTTAGACATTGAAGACACCAAGGTAAATCACCGCATCCCAGGCCATCACCAGTCATCCTGACTTTTGTTTGCCACCGGATTTCAATGACTTGGGAAGAGGGAGTGAGGGGGATGGTTTTGGCAACTCTGCCTCACTTCAATCCAATTCATCCTCAAGTCAAGACATCACCCTGTTATGTCACTGGTCTTCTTCAAAAACAAAGAACAAACAAAAACAACCTCTTGTTCATTTGACAAGCATTTTTAAAATAAGGACCTGAGAACAACTATGCTTCTTCCTCGAACTACAGTACAAACAAATATAGATTTGTATTAAATCAAATTTTAAAAGGCTTATTTAACATCAAAATTAAAATACTGGTAACTAGCTAAATGATAAATATACACATAGAGTAGTTTAAATGATCTATATACCATTTTGGTAATAAGTTGTTTAGTGTAGTGGATAAAGAATCCTCTTTGGAATCAAGGAAGACTTGGGGTCAAGTACTTTCTCTGAAATGTACTGGTTTTGTGACCAGGGCAAGTCACTGGACCTCTCTCAATGTTCTAAGCAAACCTCTTATTATTACAAGAAATATAATGAGTAAACCGCAGATAATTTCTGTTGCAATTAAAAAAAATTTGGAGTAAAAGAAGCAGAGGGGGAAACATAAGAAGACATTCCCAAACAACATCATAAACATAGCAAAAACTCTTGAAGGATTTAGTAACATGGATAATAAATTATATATTGGCAGCCATCTGTCTATCACACATGTAGAGCTTACCCTGCTTCTCTGTCTATGGTACAGATTTTTAATGTGGGGGTGGGGAGGGTCTATGAACTTTAATATATATATGTATATATATATACACACACACATATATGTGTATATATATACATATTATATTCACACACACACACATGTTATATATACTGCATTTCAATATAATTGGTTTCCTTTGTAATCCTATATGCTTTATTTTGTGAATTTAAAAACATTCCAAGGAGTCCATGGGTTTCACTAGACTGTTAAGGTGCTTGTGACACAAAAAAAGGCCTGGGGAGTGTGGGGGAGAAAATGCATTTGGACAAGAACAGGATGAAATGGTAAAGAAATTTCCAGCACAGTTAGACTAAAAAACAGGTAGAAAAGCAAGGACAAAAAGGGAGAAAAATAAAAGCTGTCATATGCTTAGGAAAATCTACCCTTAAATAACTACTTTTTCAAGTAATATCCTTTGAGAATTAAAGTTTCCACCCAAAACCATCCTAGAAGGAATGAGAATGATTGGCTAGCTTTTATAATCATATGATTTCAGTTACATGGGAGGAAGGAATAAACAAAAAAATAAGCTGGTTACTTTCCTTTTTTTCCTGATGCTGAAGGAAAATGAGGATGGGTGAGCTACTCATCACAGATTGACAAATACTGAGTGGGCCCAGTGGCTCTTCCAAAACTTAAGATTTCTCCACCACCAACCATTAGGAAATGGAATTTTTCTTGTACTAAAAGTTCAGAAAAGTCTAATTAAGAAGAGAAACAGCAACTTTATTATTCAATAAAGCCATGATCAAGATCAAGAGTATAAAGAATCCAGTTATGACAATGTTTTTTTTTTTGTTGTTGTTTGTTTGTTTTTTAAAGAAAGAAAAGAATCCCCAACCTATGGCAGGCTAGTTTAAAAACCTAATCCACACATGATTTTGGTGGCTTTCTTAAAGGAGCTTGTAATCTTTATGCTAGAACCAGGAGAGGAAAGGTGGGGTAATAGAGGTTAGAGAGACTGGCTCAAAGTCAAGAAAACCTGAATTCAAGTCTTGCCACTGATAATTACCTGTTACATGATTCTGGATGAGTAACTCCTTAGTGCTCCAGAAAACACCAAGGCTAGAAGTTGCAGAATAGCTGACAATCTGCATTAGGAGAAGGAATTTCCTTGTGAGGAGTTCCCTGTGAAATTATAGATCTGGACCCCAAAAGAAGAGATCGCTATTAATAATATATAGGACATGGATTTAAAGGACCTGAGAGGTCATCCAGTCTAACTCTCTCATTTTACAGATGGGGAAACAGAGGCCCAAAGTGATCTGCCCAAGGTCACATGGGTAGAAAATGACACAAGACCAGAATTTAAGCCCAGATCCTGACTCCAAACCCAGTATTCTTTTCATTGAGGTATGAATTAATTCTCTTGATTTTCATTTCTGAGTTTGATTTACCAAAATAACATAATGTAAAAAATGCAAAATAATTACAATGATAAGTAACTCAAATCACACATTACATGGCTTTTAATAACAAACACAATGTAAGTACAACATAACAAATTAATAGTGAATTGTAAATGGGTATTCTACAATAGGAAAAGCCTTAAAAAGATTTTGCCTGGAACCAATTAGCTTTATTTGGGAGGCATCATTGGCTACTTGCAACTTACAATAGTGACTATGGATTAAATATTTATATTTAAAAGCAGATTTCCTATAACATTAAACTGGGTATTCTCACAAGTATTGTTTTTTTTTTCTCATTTAAAAAAATAGACATGGCTTAAGTAGTTGCTGTTGTTTTGTGAACAAGATTTCGGTCTTAGGCAGCCCACATAACCATTTAAATGAATCCAACCTTTTCTGCTGTAGCTAACTTTTGGCAGAAGGAAAGTTTATTGTTCTTCCCACCACAGTCCACTCTTGACTCTTCATGAAAAGAGCCCCACTTCACTTCTGCATGAGGTTTCATTTTGTTACACAGGAAATGCATTCTTTTAAAAAAGTCATCCCTTTAAAAGAAGCGTCAAATAACAATAAGCAAGATAACTGACAGTAAACACTGTCTTAAATTTAACATTCTGTTTTCCAAAGAGGCTTTACCATCTGGGAAAAAAATATTTAATTAAAAGAGAATTTTTTTTTTTTTACAAAGGACTTGAGCCTCCACTTAGAAAGTACTCACAGAAATGAGTTATGATGTCAATGTAATAATTACAAATCTGACAAAACCACTCAATCAGAATGAGTTTCTGGGTAGATATTTGGAAAATAAAAGTTTTTAACTAAAAATCCTAAAATGATTATCTTTCACATTTGGTGGGTAGCCGTGGGAAGGCAAGGCAGATGGGGAGGAGGCCGGATGAAATCTTTACTTTCTCTATTGGGAGTTCTGAAGTTGACAGTTTTTGCAGCCTGGTCTCTACATTGGGCAGATTCCTTTAAAGTGCTCAGAAAAGTAGGTCAAATTAACTAGTGATCATTTAAGGGGAAAGCCACGTTTCACACCACATTCAGTCACGATTTCATCTGATCCTTTCAACTGTGATCTAGAAATCAATAGCTTTGGAGAATGTGAAGAGGGGGAAGGGAAGCAGTGTGGTCACACATGGAGAAAGAATGACAGCATATGGTCTATGCCAGGGACATCTGGAACAGGCCTGATACGTCTTCTCTGTTGCTCCACTTGGGGTGGCTTTTGGCAGGATGACTTTAAAGCACAGACTGAAAAACACGTTGCTACTTTATGAAATCTAGGATGCATGCCCGCAGGCTGTCTGACTGAAGAAGCTCAAATTCATCACTCAGATGGTATAGAAACTCACATTTAGATTTTTAACTTATTGTAATAATACATAGAGGTGGCTATGATGTGGTGGTTAGAAAGCTGGCCTCAAAGCCAGGAAAACCCAGGGTTCAAATCCTGCCTCTGATCCATACTAACTGTGTGACATTTAACTTCCCACTGCTCCAAGATTATCACTTGAAGACAAGATGCCAGTCTACATGGGTAGAGGGAGTTTCTTTACATGGGAACTCACAGATCCATCTTAATATACATAATATATAAAAAAGTCAAGCTCTGTTCTCCAACTCCAACAAAAAGAATACAGTCTTTAAAATACATATCTGCATCTAAGATGAAGGAAGGATGCAAAGGGTGGTTATCTGAGTCTGTAGGGAATGTTGATGTTGAGAAACTATTTAGGAATGTTAAATGAACGTTTCAGATTTTTTTAAGGCATCACAGAGACATGGGAGGTACAGATGTATTATCCCTCCAAGTTTTACTATTTAAAACAGAGGACTGTTGAGTCGCCTAATTAGAGTAACAGGAGATTGGCCACCTTTTACCCTGCGCCAGAATTATGCCAAGAGTCCTTAAGTGCAGAATGCTTGACTGACAACAAATCCCATGCAGACTTTAAGGGGGTGGAAGTTACATTCTGTAACTCAGATTCCACTTTCCTAACCCCTTGGTGAATAGAAGCTTCTCTGGCTTGTAGCTGCAGAGCCAGAGATAGAGGCATATTCAAAAGGTATGAAGGCTGATTTTCTACCTTCTCTTGTTCTACCTTCTCTTCCAGTTTGGAGTCAATAGGGTAAGAGACAATTCTGTAAAGGGACAGGCTTCAGGCCTTCCCATTTGAAGCCAATAGGTGGCCCCTGAATAAAGGCCTTGTTTTTTGGGTTTGGTTTTTTTTTTTCGCCTTTGCCTTGGTGTTTGGCATTTGCTCTTTCATTTTAGGTGAAAGAGATTGGAGGCTACAATCTTATGAGTTTCAAACAATCAGGAGAGTGAGGTACCAGGAAGTCCAGGAGAAAAGTCTGTACCAAGTTTTGAACACTAGTTTGCAAGATCCAGTAAGGCAGTAACAGAGGTGCCTCCTTTGGATGTGAGATTGGTGGAACCCATGCTAGATAGAAACTGTTAAGTTTGAGCTCATTCTCTCCAAAGACCTAGGTGGTACAAGGAAGAATGTGCCCCTGAAGTATTGTGAGGAAATGTTTGTACTTGTGTTCTTCCTGAATCTTGAAGTAAATTGTTGTTGTTCAGTCACATGTGACTCTTTATGACCCCATTTGGGGTTTTCTTGGCAAAGATGCTGCAGTGGTTTGTCATTTTCTTCTCCAGATCCTTTTACAGATGACGAACTAAGGCAAACAGAGTTAAGTGACTTGTCCAGGGTCACATAGCTAGTAAGTGTCTGGGGCCAGATTTGAACTCATGAAAATGAGTCTTCCTGATTCCAGGCCTGGTGCTCTATCCACTGCACCACCTAGCTGTCACTTGGAAATAAATATCCTTTCTAAAAGAGGATTGGTGTTAAGTAGTTAAATGGAACTGGGGTGCCAGCAACTGATGGCTAATAGTGGGGAAAGTGTGAACACATTGGAATAGGGACTTGAGTTGATAGCACTAGAGAAGCAATACCTTCAAGCCTCCAGGGATATCCCTAGCTAGAACCCTAAGGGGAGATGTGCCCACCCTAGCTCTAGGAGAGTAAGGCAAGACTTTTTGCTACACTAATTTAATTTTTATATTCAGATTAAATTCTAAACAGTAGCATTCTTTCACTTATAGATACTAATTTAACCTTGAAGCTGTTTAGTGTAAATAAGACTTATCTTACATATGTTCCATTGAACTCCATCCATAACACTAACTCTGATTCTAACTTCTATCCCATCTTTCAGTTTGGAAATAGGAGACAAAACACCAAAAAGATACTTTAGGTCAATTAATACAATAAAGAGGTTTATAAAAAGAGACTAAGGGAAAAAAAAGATGAATGGGGCAGGGATGAAGAGTTTAAAGAAGTAGAAGACAGAGCACAATGAAAAAAAAGGGAGCAGAACTGCTACATGAAGGTCATAGAACCCCAAAATCTTTCTTCCAGCTCTCTTCTCCTCTCCTCTCCTCCCTTCTCCTCTTCTCTTCTCTCCTCATCTCTCTTCATTCTTTCTTTCTCTCTCTCTCTCTCAGAACTGATGACAAAACAGTTCTTAAAGTCTGAAACAATAGACATTCTATGACAAATCCTATCAATGAACATAGTCCATTAAAAAGTGAAAATAAAATCAGGTACTCAATCATCCCTTTGCTGTTGTTCTACTCAATACTCAAATAATAAAATTGACTTAACTGACTAGTTGTTATAAGTAGCTTGATCTAGAATTTTAGGCCAGTCAAAAAGAAAAATAATGTTAATTTATTAATAAACTATCAAGAAACAGTTCAGTGACAGGTCAAATATTACTGGGGGATTTAGGTTTGTTTCTGGATCTACTAAGGCTTAAAAAATACAACTTTGAAATAACTTTTTGTGACATGTCTATGAATAAATAACAGAAATACATACAAAAATACCAATATTTTCTGGACAAATTTTCCTACAAGAAGTAGGCCCAAATATTAATGTTATATTCTAACACCCAAAAATTCACTAACATAGTTAACACTTTACTGTTATTGCATTAGAAGAGCTAGTTAGTCTTAAGAAGAACTTTAACAGAGAAAAGGCAGATAAACTTGAAAAACTACATTTCTAAAGAAAAAGTAAACACAGCTGGTGAGCAGAGTAAGAGGACATGAAGTGCTATAACAGAAAAAACTAACAACTCAACCACTCATGAGCCCTCATGTTAAAAATATGCAAAGTAATGCTCTCTTTAGAGAACCTCATTCTTACACATGCAAGGGATGTGTAATGAGAGTTGTTTTATGTTAACTATGTTTTCATTTCATTAACACTATGGCATCACTATAACATGTTTTCTATAACATGAAATCTAAGAGAGTTCAGCTATCAGAAATATCAGAAATCAGAAAAATCATCATAACAGGACCTAACTTATGACACAATGTTACAACCTAAACCCCAACTAATTTCCATCTTGATCACATTATCATTGCTGGTTTCTCATTTTCTTGTTACGAAGGTCTACACATTTAGCATTTTACATTTCTGCCCTTCTAAATTTATCTAAGACTTCTCTGTCACTAAGAACATGTTGAATTCCTGTGTTTCCTATATGTTTAAAATATTTATTTCTTATTTTCCCCTTTAAATTTTCATCACATTGTTATTAAATTAATTTCAACAAGGCTGAAAAATGCAACTTCCCTCCAATTTATTTTTTTCTTTGATTTATCATGTTCTGAGAATGGATTGTTTTATCCCCCTACAACTAATCTCCTATGACTAATTATTTAACTATTTCTGTTAGTAAGAATGTGAACTCTTCCTTTATCAACTTAGTGGCTATATTATTTGGTACATGTATGTTTAAAATTAACATGTGCTCATTATCAGGAGTGCCCTAAACATTTCCTTGTTTATCTCTATTAATTCTTACTGGTTTGAATTCAACTCTCTGAGTTATAAACACTGTAAATTCAGATTT